TGGACTCGCTCCAGTGCCTCAATGGCCTTTGGGCAGGGAGTGCCCAAAGCTGAGCACAGCACTGAGCTGGGACCTCCTCAGTGCCCAGTCCAGGGGGATGAGCCACACTCTGCTGGAGCCAGGACAAGGTGCCCTTGGCCTCCTTGGCCACCTGTGCACACTGTTGGTTCTCACTGAGCTGTGCCACCAGCACTGCCAAGGCCCTATGGGACCAACTGTCGTGGCGGTTCACGCCCCCACTCTGCTCTGCCCTGGTGTGACTGCTGTCCCCCTGTGCAGCTCCTTCTTTCAGAGCCTATGTGTGCTGGGGTACTGCGTGCTGCCGCTGACGGTGGCCATGCTGGTGTGCAGGCTGGTGCTGCTGGCGGGCGCCGGCACCATCAGCTTCATCGTGCGCCTCGTCGTCGTCCTGGCCATGTTCGGGTGGTCCACCTTGGGTGAGTACCTCGGCTTCCCCTGGCAGGTGCATCCACGTGGTTCCCTCGGGCAGAGCCAATGGGTGCTGCAGTCTGAGGTGTTCCTGGGCTGTTGGAGCACTGTGAAAATTGTTGTTCTGGTCCTTGTGCTCCAATCCTATCTGCTTCTGGTGATTTCCATGGCCATATGCCATGTGCCTTGGGCAGCAGAGTGATAATTCAGCAGTAAGCTCCATGTGAGGCTGATGGATGTTTTGTTCTGTGATTGTCATAAATACTGTTAGAAAATGCTGGTTTTATACAGATGCATTTGCATTGTTCCTCCTGTTCTTAGTCTGGAAGTTTGACTTGCTACAGAATGTTTATGGCCAGGTTGGATGGGGCTTAGAGCAGCCTGGGCTAGTGGGAGGTGTCCCTGCCCATGGCAGGGGTGGGACTGGATGAGGTCCAAGATCCTTCCATTCCAAACCAGTCTGGGATTTCATGACTGTGCTTTATGATGGAGGAAGTTGGTGGTTCAAGTGCGTGGTGCGAGCATTGGGTTACTTTGGGTATTTCTCTGTCACTGCTGAAATGCAGCTCCTGATCCAGGCCTGCTGCCACACGCTGGGTGCTGTGCACTGGGTGCTGGGCCGCCACCCTGGGGTGCTTTGGGTGCTGAGCTGCCGCCCTGAGGTGTTTGTGTCCTCTGCAGCCTCCACAGCGTTCCTGGCGGACAGCCAACCTCCGAACCGCAAGGCGCTCGTCGTCTACCCCATCTTCCTCTTCTACTTCGTCATCAGCTGGATGATCCTCACCTTCACCCCTCAGTGACCAGCCCAGGACTGCCACACGGGCTGGGGCTCCTCATGGACGCTGCAGTCACCCCTTGGCTTCGTCTCCTAATTTATGCTAGGGATGCTGTAAACAGGCAGGATGCGGGATAAAGCCAGAGAGCTGCAAAAGTGCTGGTTTGTGTGTCCCTCTTTGTGACAGAGCTCCAGCTGCTGAGTGCCTCATGTGGCCCTGCTCTGTACTTGTGTTAAATAAACAAAGCCTGCTGGGACGGGGATTGCTCCACCTGAGGAGAGAGCACGAGATCCTGGGATTTCAAGCTGCTGGATATGAAGTTACGGGATCACACAACTTGGCAGAGCTCCTGCCTGTGCTTGGATTCTCACTGGAGATGAAAATGCCTTATCAAACCATAGGACTTCACTGCTGTGATGTGTGGAGAGGGAGGAGGCATGTCTGACTCCTTGTCATCCCCTTGTAGTGTGGTGGGATGTGTACCCAGGGCTTTCCTGGGAGAGCAGAGTGCAGCAAACGCCATTGGGTCTCTCTGCAGTGAACTGGAGCTGGTGGCAGGGGGTTGCCTGTGCTCATATCCGTGTGCTCTGTGTGTTCATCCCCTCACGTGGCAGGAGAGAGGGTTCTAGCCTGATGCCTTCAGCACTGTGTGACTGGTCCCGTGGGCTCACGGCAGAGTCACAGCCTGTGACCACAGGTGACAGAGCTCAGAGTCCTGCAGCAACACTCAGAACTGACTGGTTTGTAGCAGGCACTGGGAAAATTCCCAGGAAAGCCCTAAGTGCATGTATATGTTAAAAGAAAGGGTTCTGTGCAGTAAGTTGAGGCTCTGCTGCTGCACAGACTGTTTGGGTCTGACTAACCACAGCAGGGTCTAGGCCTCAGCTTTCAATCAGGCTGAAGGAAGGAAAGCAAGCGGTGCTGAAGGTGGTGGCTGCTCTCAGCAGGGCCTGCCCTCACCTGTGTGTGCCTGTTCCTTTGGTGTTCACAGGGACAGCCACAGGGGTGAGCAGATGTGCATTTGGTCCTTGTGCTGACCAGGAGATGTCAGACATTTCCGGTTTGTTTTGCTCGCTACTTTTGTAGTGAGGTTTCCTGCCCCAGGTCCCTGCAGGTGTATTCTGTGCCTCACCTGGAGAAACACACACAGGTGTGCAGGGGTCAGTGGTGTTCTGGCACAGGGATTGGGAGCTGGGAATTGCTCTTGGAAACTGTGCAGAGATGATGTCTGTTGCCCACTGCTCAGTCAGCAATCCGAGGGGAGAGGTTAGAAACATCTGGGCTGAAAAAGCTGCTGTAAATGTCCTTGTTCTGCAGCTCTGCAGAGAGGCTGAAGCTGAGGTGGTGGGTCCTGCTGTGCCTCCTTTCTGGGGCTGTGTACAAGGGCTGTGTGTGCTGTGAACACCGTCTAACTTGCTGATTCCAAGTGCATTTGAGGCTGAAGAGCTGCTGTGACAGGGCCTGGCTGTGGCACCAAGGGGCTGGGGAGGAGCTCATCGATGTGGGGACCATGGGAATGGGGAATTTTTAAGCTTCCATTAAATTATTACTGCTATGGAATGTGGTTTTTGTTTTCAGTGTGCAGTTTTCATTCAAATGTTTGTTTGGCTCTGTGAAGCTGGAAAGAAATGCTCAAGGGAAGTGACAGTGAAGCTGTGATGGCTACAGTGAGATTCCTTGAGCCAAACCTTGCTTTCCTACCAGAGTTTTACCACACTGTGAGAGAAATCTGTAGTTCTGTCTCT